CAGTGAAAAGGCTCCTGCAACATCCTTAAAGGGTTACTTTCCTTTCCTGAATGCTTCCAAGGGCAATTCACTTTTTTTACTTTTTTGGTAAGTTTTGGCTTGCTAGTATTATTTGACTACATCTCCCGCTAGATCTGTCAACATATCCAGTGGTGAGTGAAGATGGGAGATGTGATCCAATGTATGGAATGCAGGTTGTATGCTTCTGTTAGGAGATAGATGAAGACAACCAAGGGTCAAGATTCTACAGTGGGAAATCATTCATGTGACGGACCATATTGTGTGCAGCTTGACAAGGTATACAAAACCTCTTTCTGAATATTCAAACAAAAATCCTTCAGCGATACCTTTATTGGCCAACCAAAATGCACAATATACTTGTTGCAAGCTTTCGAAGCTCCATGGGCTTCTTCATAAGGCAAGATGTTACAAACCAAACAGGAGAAAAACAATTGGAGACGTTAGTCAGATGCCTGCATGTTGTTTAGTCTTTAGTTAAGATGGTATATCGTAGGGAGGATATATTTTGTAGGCAGGATCCTCCTCCTTCTGGCACTGTGGCTATAAGGAGATTTGCAAAGTCCAGAAAATTTAAAATCCATTTCCATCTCAACAGGGACCCCTCTTTTGCAATCCAATATGTCTCCATTCCAGTGAGGCCATAGGCCTCTTTGTGGCAGAGAACAATGGATTCCTCAAGAAGTCTCCGTGTTTGCATCAAGAATATTTTGGTGGTTGTACAAGTAAAACATGCAAATTTAGTACAAATTTAAGAAGAAAAAAATTGTTTCACCTTGGTTGAAGTTCTCAGTCCACAGGCTGTTCTTCTGGTTCTCCTGTTGCAGCTACAATGCAGTATCTCACAATATAGAAAATATTCAGGGGTAGCTGTGTTGGCCATTTAGCAAATTCAAACAAAAATCCATCAGTGATATCTTTATTGGCCAACCAAAATACACAGTATACTTGTTGCAAGCTTTTGAAGCTCCATGGGCTTCTTCATCAGGCAAGATGTTACAAAATCATGCTTTTCTCCCGTTTGGTTTGTAACATCTTGCCTGATGAATAAGCCCATGGAGCTTTGAAAGCTTGCAACAAGTATACTGTGCATTTTTGGTTGGTATCCAATAAAGTCATCACTGAAGGATTTTTGCTTGCATTTGTTAAATGGCCAACTCAGCTACCCCTGAATGTTCCCTTTCAGAATGTGGAACAGTAGCAGGAATGATCTCATGCAGACAAGGCATTATGAACAGATGGCCTGAAACCTGCTGCAGCACAAGGTAGTTTTTCCAATTCACTTCTTCTCATAGTTCCAGAGATCCCTCAAAGCGGCTCCTCCTCCCATTGGCGCCTTCTTTCCCTTGCCAATGTGCATCATCACATACCACCACCTCCTCCCATGTAACCCCAGGGGAGCTTCCCAAACTGCCAGAATGACATAGGATCCCAGCCAAGGTGGTGCCTGAGACTTTAGTGCAAAGGTGGGCAACTGTGGGAGGGCAGGAGGCTGCATTAGCCTTCCAGGGGACATTGGAGGCCTGTACCTGCTCTCAAAATAATACTACTAATACTAATACTAATATCAACTTTTTGCCCCAAATGTTTCTAGAAAACAATGACATTTTCACCATGTTTTGGGGCCTTCCTGGGCTATTTATTTAACAATAGAAAGAGAGCAAAAGTCACTTCCTGTTTCAAACAAGGCATCTCTTGAACTCAAAATGGCCTATGATGGGCCCAAGACTTGCAGAAATGCCCCCATGCTTCCTGAAGGGCATTTTGGGGCAAAAAAAATTTTTTTTTAAAGTTTACAAAAATTGTTTGATCCTTGGGAAGCACAGGGAGCCTCCAAACATGGTGGAAATGTCCTCCATCTCCCTAAAAGGCATTGGGGGACATTTAGAAGCATTATGTTTTGACCCCCTGGGGGTCATGGAATGCACTTTACCCATCCCAATGTAAAATGCTACACAGTATTTCCTGTATGGCCAAGATTTTCATGTAGGACTGTTAGGCATGTACCTAAATGTAAAAACAAATTTTAATTATTGGTAAGATCTATCTTCATTAAAACATGGGAAAACAATGGACATAACTGCACACGAGACCCCTTACAGCTCTATGATTCTGTGATTCTAATATAAGTTTAATATCAGTCATCCCTGATACTGTCAATTTCAAGCTTCAAATAAGTATTATCAATATATGTATGGACTGTGCATTTTAAAAACACTGTTTTATATAATTTCTGTAGTATTTTTAAAATATGTTATTTCATTAAAAAATTAAATGCTTAAAAAGATTTGGAAAACTGCTTTAATTAATATTTCAATAAAGATTTCCTGTCAAAACAGGAAAATGTACATTATCGACTTTCTTAGAGTTAACACTTGGTTTTTTCCCCCTTCTGTATTTCTCCTCTTTCACAAAGTGGAGAGTCCCACTGCTGCAGCCTTCTGAACTGAAGGCAAATATAAACATCAAATGCTGGTGTAAAATTAAAGGAACAACAGGCAATTGTTTTCTCTAGGGTACTCTCCAAAACTAGAAGAAGTAAGAGTCTTAACTCATTCTGCATTTATAGCTTCAATCATTCCAGAACAGGATGTGTGCATAAAAGAGGGTCTAAGCACCCAATGGCTGGGTGGGGCTAAGAGCTCCTTATCTTATAACCCTTTAAGTCCAGTCAGTTATTTAACTTGGTTCCACCTTGTTGTTTCTTCTTCATCTTCTTGGCTTGCATCTTTGACACAGTGCCCAAAGCTGACTGAGAAAGCTCCTTTATGGTCTCAGGCAAGAGTAGCTTTCCAGACTGGGTGGGATATTTGGTCTTCATTAGGTTCTTAAATACGGGCTGAGAGAGCAAATGCTTTAGATGTTTCTTCATCCTTTTGAGCATTTTCTGTTTCTCACTCTCTTCTTGCTCACTGGGCTTACCTCCTGTTAGCACAAACAGACAAATGGCAAAGAATATCAAAACTTCTGCATTATCGCTCAAAGGTGAATTAAAAAACTTTATAATGTCCATATTGCTATATTAATACAGACATTTTAAAGGATTTACATGTTACAAGCATTATTTTCTGTTATTAAAAATATCTGAGACTTCCAACACAAGCACATTGTCTCTTAAGCCATACACACAGAGCTAAACAAAACAAATGGATAAGTATGCAGTTTGGAGCCTGAGTGATTATTTCTGCAACTGTGACATTCTAGGTGCAAGTTCTTACATCTCCAGTGAAAAACTACTGGGGGTGGATGCAAATATTCTTTTTCAGTATTTCCCTTATTTAAGTAAAAGGGAGGTCTACAGTGCAGAGCACTGTTTTGTTTGTTATCTGACATCAAGTTAACATTGTCTTATGGCAACCATTTGAATGAGTGACTTCCAAAAGCCTTGGTTCTCTAATACCCCTCTCAGTTCTTTCAGAGTTGGGGCTGTGGCTTTCCCAGCTAGTTGAGTGCCTTCAATCATCTTCCAGCATTATCTCTTGTTTTATTCTGGAATGTCTCATCATAGAGTTTTCAATGTAAAGGATATTCAGTAGTGCTTTACCATGGCTGTGCTGTTCCTTGTAAGACTGATAAACTGCCCAAATATGCTGGTAAGAACAAAGTGTGTGTGCATGCACCTTTAAAGTCACCAGTCAACTTATGGTGACCCCATGAATTTCACAGGGTTTTCTTAGGCAAGGAATGCTGAGGTGATTTGCCAATTCTTTCTTCTGAAATATAGCCTACACCCCCTGGTGTTTGTTGTTGGTCTCCAATTCCAGTACTAACCAGGGCTGACCCCCCTTAGCTTCCAAGATCTGACAGGATCTGGTGCCTTTACCAATTAGGCTATGCTAAAAATGATATATATCCCATTATGAGTGTAATGGATGCCCATTAGGATACTTATGGCTATTCCAGATGCTGTTAAGATTTAATAATGCTCAAGGAGATTAACCCTTGGATGCTTGTGTGTTCACACATGACTGCTTGAGAGATATAAGGTTCCTCAAAGATAAGAGTGTACAGTCATCCCTCCACATTCGCTGGGGTTAGGGGCACAGGATCCCCATGAATGTGGAAAAACTGCAAATAACATAAACACTATATTTTTACCAGAGAGAACACCTATCTAGGAATCTCTAGGTCCTCCAGTGCAACTCTGCGGTCAACATCTGCTAGGTATTAACCACAGAATTGTGCTGGAGGAACTACAAATGCCTAGTGGAGTTTTCTTTCTAGAAATCTCTAGGTCCTCCAGTGCAACTTTTGGTTACAGTTGACCACAGAGTTGTGCTGGAGGACCGATATTCCTAGAGAGAACGTATTAATCAAATCTGCAAAAGTCAAATCTGCAAATGTGGAGGGACGAGTGTATACCTAAATGGATAAATGTTCTTCTATGTGTTAACTACTGAAAAGCATGTTAAAGGAATGAAAGAAGTGCCAGTCCTTAGGAAAGTGTAACATCTTAATGGTAATAGGATGTGATACTTTATAGCCAATGCAATGTAATGTGATGAAAGTTCAGCACCCAGACACTGACATGACTGTGTTTCTCCCTGAGGGGAATGTACATATTTTTATATCTTGGAAAACATATAATAAATATCCTAAACCTGAGATTTCAATACTTCAGAATGCTTACATGATATCGTGATGTTAATTCTGCCTATCTAATTTTAATTACCACCATGAACTGAGCAATTTGGTAGCCAGATTACAACAGAACTCCACACAAAATCCAGATCATCTGACAAGTGGCAAGGACCCCTCAATCCCTCAGTCTAAAGAGATAGGGATGAGGAACCACCCTGGTTTCAGTTGAAACTAGCTTCTTTTGATTTTGTGTGCCTTCAAGCCATTTGCAACTTACTGTGACTCCAAGGCGACCCTATCACAGGGTTTTTCTTAGCAAGATTTGTTCAGAGGAGGTTTGCCATTGCCTTCCTCTGAGACGGAGAGAGTGTGATTTGCCCAAAGTCATCTAGTGGGTTTCATAGCCAAGCTGGGAATCGAACCCTGGCCTCCAGAGTCATAATCCAACACTCAAACCACTACACTACACTGAATGCTAAAACTACTATTAAGTTGTAATCCATCTTGCTGAATTTGTAGTTTAACCTCCCCACCCTTCAACAACACGAACCCAAACAAGCATATCTACACTTTGCTCAAGTAGTTGAAAGTATTTTAGACTATGACAGACATCAGGATAAGGATTCTCAGGTGCATGGGTGCACCTTAGTTACTTCACTCCTCTCTTCAGTCAGATTTGACCTTTACGGCATTTATTTGAATTGTTCCTCCCTCTTATGATCAAATAAACTCCTACTTGCCTATTAGCTCGTCATCATCCAGATCACGTTCAAGTGCTTCTGCAGCTTGCTGGAGCCAAGAGTTGTGCTGTTTTGCTCGACTGTTAAAATACTCCACCTTCTCAATTTGTCTTGCCAAGTTCACCCGTTCCTGCAGCAAAACAGAACCGTTACTGGCTTGTTTTTTGGTGTTTTTTTTTAGGATACCATGCAAAGGTAGAATATGGATTCTCAAAATAGAAGATGCAGAAACGCATTCCCCACTCCTACTAGAACAGGCTGAAACACTAATAAAATAAGACAGAAAAACATCTGCACAGTGTAGGTACCATTTCTGCACTATTATAAGAGATACTGAAGTCCTATGGACAGCATAATGCAGCTCAAAAGCATGTTTTACATGTCACTTCTCCCATGTTGCACTGATCATATGCGATTTTCCATAATTTGTTTCTCATACTGAACTGGAAAACTACACAGGCAAAGAGTTCATTTTCAGGATGTTAGGACAGGGATATTTGTTCAGCGGTAGAGGATATGCACTGTAAGCAAAAGACCCTGGCTCAATCCTTGGCCTTTCCATATCAGACTGGGAAATGATCTTGTCTAAAGCTCAGCCAATATCAACAGTGCTGGGCTAGATGGACCAATTTCCTGGTTCAGAACACAGGAGTTTCCTATTTCCAGACTGTAGTTAAATTTACCAAATTTATTATCTCCAAATCCAGTCTAGGTCTATTTTAGAACTGAAGTACTACCAAGTTCTGAACTGGGATAAAGATAACCTGCAATCTTTCCTATCCAAAGCATGAAACTAATTCAGGAAACAATTAAGTTTGAGAAGATTATTACAAAGTGGGTTCCTGGAAAGAAGGCAGAATGAGAAAAAAACATAAGTAAAAATAAATAAATAAATAAATTCAGTTTTGTTGTTGATGAGTGCCTTCAAATGATTCCTGACTTAAGTCAACACTGAGGTTTTCATGGTGTTTTCTTGGCAAGATCTGTTTAGAGGGGTTTTTCCTTTGCTACCCACTGAGGCTGAGATTTGCCCAAGGCCACCCAGTGGGTTTCCATGGCCAAGTGGGGATTCAAACCCTGGTCTCCAGAGCCTTAGTCCAGTCCTCAAACCACTGCACCACAATGGGTCTCCTTTGTTTCAGTCTGCATTCTAGAATTTTCTGTGCACCTTTAGATTTATTGGAGCAACTAAAATACAGGATGCAACAGGTTGCTATAGGAACAGCTATTGAAATCTGAACTACTGTTACATCTAACACATATTCTATGACCAGTTCCCAAATGAGATGCTAAAAATAATTGAAAAAATCTTGAGTGATTATGGCATTAACACATACCCTTATGTATGTATATATGCCTTCAAGCTACCCATAAGTTTCAAAGGATTTCCTTAGGCAAGGAATACTCAGAGTTGGTTTTGTCAGTTCCCTCCTTTGAAATATAGCCTACAGCACCTGGTATTTTTTTGTTCATTCTCATCCAAGTATTAACCAGAGCTGACCCTGCTTAGATTCCAAGATCAAATGGGATCTAACGCGTTTACAAAATAAACCAAAATATACATTTTACCTTGATAGCAGTCATGCACTTTGTTTCAACAGGGAATAAAGGAAGGTCTTCATTCTTCTCCAAGGTCTTATAAATCCTTTTGAAATTTATCATGTCATTTGGGCCAATCAGCAGCAAGCTCAAGCCCTCATTGGCAGCTCGGGCAGTCCTGCCACTTCTGTGCACATAAATCTCAGAAGTACGGGGAACCTGCAATAGGACAAGTGATTACAACACAACCATGGTGACGAGTATGGAGCACTGAGAGAAAAGTATGTCACCACACTGTGACCAGTGGTTTCATGCCTTTCATTACACTTCTTTAGCCTCACAGGTTGGATTTCCTCATAAAGCTGAAGAGCACTTGGATGTGAGAGCAAAGTGCACTGTTCTTTGCTCCCACACGTATGCTACAATTCTATGCAAAAACAAAAAGAAAAATGCAGGATTTGCAACCATATCAGAAAGTGAGTGGTTGGGTTCTACAACCCATAAAAAAAGTACATGGTAGGCCAAATACTCCAAAATTAGGCTAGAAGCTGGTGTCAGCCCAGGCTGGCTGGAGGCAGGGTCCAAAGATAGGTAGGGATCATGTCCCAAAGCAGCAAAATAGAATCACACACTGGAGGACTTACTGGGAAGGCCTATTCTAGCCAAAGAAAGGGAGACATCCAGGAACAGGTTAACTCCAGGCACTGCCCAGGCAAGGCAAGGGATCATATGTTGAGTTATTCAATATCCTGATCCCTAACCCCTCCTTTCTAAATGTATCTGAAGAAGTAGACTTAAGTTTACAAAAGCTTATGCTGCCATCTTTTTTTCAGTTAATCTCAAAGGTGCTACAAGATCTCTCTACATACTGATTCTAACATGGCTGTATCTTCAAATTCCTTCTTTTCAGTTCTTTGCAAAGCCGAAAAATACAGGAAAAAGGAAAAGATTTTGAAAAGGAAAAGGAAATATAATCTTGGCACCAGAGGGCAGGGCTGGATGGCTCCTTTGCCTTGGATAGAACATGCCATTCTTAGCCAGTGGACAAGGAGCCATCCAGGAAAGAGAATTACCTTCTGTACCTAGGCTAACCAATCCCTGGGAGGAACAGTGGCAAGAGATGAATGAGAAATACCATGCTGAAGCATCCTGTGAATGAAGGATGCATGATCTGAGGCAAATTTATCCAATCTGCAATGTTTGGTAGAGGCAAAAGGAGTGACCCAGGTAGAGGCATTACAAATTTCCTCTAGAGGGGAGTTTGTTGAAAAAAAACTGCAGAAGTAGCTGCTGACCTGGTAGAGTGACATGTTGTGGCTTAGGAAGATAGAGGGATTCATAGGCTAAGAAGATACAAGACTTGATCCAGCATGACAGAGAAAACAGAGAAATCTCTCTGTCCCAGAGAAGTAGGTAGAAAGGAATTAAAAAGTGCTTCCAACCTCCTCAAAGGCCTGGTGCACCTAATGTAGATTTTGAGAGCCTGCTGGACAGCTAATTTATGGCATCATTTTTCTAAAGGATGGACTGGATGTGGACAAGAAGGCAGGTAAATTGGGCAACCATTGGGCGGTATATAAATAAATATTATTATTATTATTATTATTATTATTATTATTATTATTATTATTATTGCTGAGTGGTGAAAATAAGAACATACTTTTGGCCAGAACCCGGATCAAACAAAAGGTAAACTGACTGAGCTTCAAACTTGCAATGAGAAGGGTTCACAGACAGTGCTGCCAATTCCAAAACCCTCCTTATTGAAATTATAGCTATCAGGAAAAGCACCTTAATGGAGAGAATATGAAATGGCTTGAAAGGTGGCTTGGTAAGGGCTGTGAAAACCTCATGGAGATCCCAAGACAGGAAGCAATGTACTAACAGCCAACCTCAATCTGAGTGTGAAATGGTCCTTGACTGAGAAGACTGGGTTTGATTGGGAGGAGAAGAAGGCTCCAGGTTACCAGGGCTAGGATGTAAGAACAAGCCAATGAAGTGCTATGAGAACCACTGATGCTCATTTCTGATGGATGATGTGTGTGGCCATCATATGTTGTTGGATAGTAACTCCCATCAATCCACCCACTAGTGAATGCTTGCTAGGACTGCTGGGAATTGCAGTCCAACAAATGCAACAATATTTAAGAAATGCATATAAGAAAAAAATCCATCAGGTGTTTCTTTTATTGAAACAAGGAGGTGGGAAATGCTACTAACTCTTGCAAATATGAAGGTTCTTTTCAAGGCACAAAGCTGGAAACCCTCTGCAGCAGTCAAAAGGAAAAGATGAGTTTCGAACTGATTTATACTGAACAGTCAAATCCACCATGGAGCGAGGGAGACAGGCAAACAATATAAATTTTGGCCAGAATCATAGAATTTGAAGAGATTACAAGGGCCATTCAGTCCAACAACCTGCCATGCAGGAAATCACAATCAAAGCATCCCTGGCAGATGGCCATCCAGCCTCTGTTTAAAGACCACCAAGGAAGGAGACTCCACCACTCTCCAAGGGAGTGTGTTCCACTGTCGAACAGTCCTTACTGTTAGGAAGTTCCTCCTAATGTTGAGGTGGAATCTCTTTTACTGTAGCTTGCATCCACTGTTCCATGTTCTAGTCTCTGGAGCTGCAAAAAACAAGCTTGCTCCATCCTCAATGTGACACCCTTTCAAATACTTAAACAGGGCTAACATATCACCCCTTAACTGTCTCTTCTTCAGGCTAAACATACCCAGCATGGTATGTGTCATTCTTAGGCATGGTTTCCAGACCCTTCACCATTTTGGTCGCCCTCCTCTGGACATGCTCCAATCTGTCTACATCCTTTTTGAATTGTGGTGTCCAGAACTAGATACCGTATTCCAAATGAGGCCTGACTAAAGCAGAATAGAGTGGATCTATTACTGCCTTTGATCTAGACACTATACTTCTATTGATGCAGCCTAAAATCACATTGGCCTTTTTAGTTGCTGCATCACACTGTTGACTCATGTTCAACTTGTAGCCTACTAGGACTCCTAAATCCCTTTCACATGTAGCCTCGTTAAGCCAGGTGTCCCCCATCTTATATCTATGTATTTCATTTTTCTGCCCTAAGTGCAGTACCTTACATTTCTCTGTGTTGAAATTCATTTTGTTAGCTTTGGTCCAGCATTCTAATCTATTCAGGTCTTCTTGAATTTTGATCCTG